GAGCCGGTCTCGGAGCCCTTTGCGCGGAGATAATACCTTAATTCACGAGGCACTTTGTTTCTAATCTTAATCAGATCTTGGTTGTTGGGTTTTTTTAACTATATTGGCAGGCCTAATAGAAGATATTACCACTTCCCACACATCTTTCCTCATTTTTCCTCTGAGACCATTATAGCTACTTTCTCGTCTGTGATATAAATTGTTGAGTATTGCTCGATTAGCAGGAAAAGCGGGTTAGATTTTTTTATAAACAGCAGAAAGGTCAGCTTTTGTTTTTGAAGTTGCTGGTTACAGTGGAACTCCCCTCAGAGTTTGCTTACATGCTTTCTTAGAAGCTATTCTGAGAAACGTGTTTTTTTAAGGCGTTGGCAGTTGCTTAGCAAAGCTGGATATGGTGGGTGAACTATGAACTACTTCAGCATTTTTTTTTTAAAAAAATAGTTCTGGAAACACTCTCATCTGCTAGTTTGTCCTCTTGTGCTGGAGCAACGTCGGCTCGGCGTTCACCATTGCGACTAGGGGCATTGGATCCCGTGTGCTACGTCCAGCCTACCCTCTGTAAGCTAGCAAGGCTTTTCACTTTCATACCTCAAAAGCTTTATATCGGTTCTGTTTTCCTCCTGGATGAAATGTTAAAGCAGTCTTGTTTGCTGTTGAAGATTTGCTCCCAGGAAACCGGTAATGAGATACGAAGGTATGTCTTCCTAGATCACAGATTCAAATTGCGTCTGGCTCAGGAGATACGTGGCCTCACGATTTGATTGCTTATTCATGACTGGTGTGTAGGAGCGGAGAGGGGAGAGAACAGGTGTTTCCATCCTCTTCTGCAGCAGTTGGTTTCAATCTCGCTGTTGTGCAGGCATATACCTTACTAGAGAGGTTAACCACTGGTATTTTGGTCGCTTCTGTTTACTCTGGTGTGATCTCTCTGGAGCTGTTCTGACCGGCCCGCTCTCTCGTATGAAACCAGAGCGCTTCAGTGGGCTGGGGCTGCTAGACTACTGCTTCAAGCTAAGCTCATTTATATATTTATGCTTGAGCTTTTTTTAGGAGTCTGCACGAATGTGTTTGCAGATGGGAAACGTGAGCTTGAGAAATTGAAACACTTTGGCTGTAATCATCCTGTACCAGGCTTGAGCTCTGCCTGTAGGCCACGCTGTCTCCAAAATCCCTACCCCAAAACCAACTTAAATGGAAACGAGTCAAAAGAGTGGGCAGCTGTTGTATTTATAGCCTGTGCATGTCTGCAAGCACTGCAGTTGTCTTTGTTCACCATGCCAGAGCGTGTCGTGTGAAAACTACAGCACCCAACCTGTAACTCTTCAGAAAATCTCTGGGTAGTTTTGGGCTAGTATTGCCTACAAGCATCATCTTTCTGTACAAGCTGACAGAGGTGGCAGTCTCTGTACTTGTCTGATTTAAATGTGACCCACAGGCTCTTGTCAGGCTGTCCGTGAAATAGTACCATTTGCAGCAACTCGGCGTGTAGACGGGAAGTTAGCTACGCAGGGAACTGGTCTTTCTTGCTAAGAGTTTGCAGCTCTTGAAAACCAGTATAGCCTTGGCGAATCGAGTTGGTCTGCTGCCTTTCAGGTGGAGAGAATGAAGCTAGATACTAATGTAAGTTCAGACATGAAAAGGTGTTTTTCTTGGCTTGCCCAGCAGAAATCAAGTGAAATGCCAAAGTAGACATTTGAAGTCTGAGAAGGTGCCGCCTGGGCTGTGGGCTCAGAGCTGGTTTTCAAATGTGCAGTGCTCCTACCGTGCTTATTCGCATAATTGTTACTCATAAACTGCAATTCTAGCGATCCTGATTGTTGTTTTAGGATAAAAGCTGCTTTCAGGTTGGTTTGTTCAGTTTCAACTCCCCCCTTCTGGAAGGTTGTGCTGTGAAGACTGGCGTATCAATATACCAAGCACATTAGATGATAACTGTTTGGTTTTTTCCCTGTTGCCTGGATAAGAGTGTAGTGTTGTGGGGAACCGTGCCATAAAACGACTTTGTGACCCACCAGAGCAGCAGCCTGACATGTGAAGCTTTTCACTTCATTCTAATTCCTCGTTATATTTTATGATGTTCAGTGCCTGGAAAAACAGTTTGCCAATGTTCATTATTAAAAGCAATTTGTAAGGATTTATAAGACCCTGGTGCCAACACCAGAAAAAATAAACTCGTATCTGAAATTATCAATCACTTTAAATTGACAGGGTTTTTTCTGTCTTGAGGAAAGATGGCCACAGCTGTATGAAATATGTCGGCTGACTAGCTCTTCATCACGTGAGAAAGTTCTGCTTCCAGTAATTGCTTTAGTGGTCCTCATTTTAATTCCTCACAAGTGAAATGTGTATCATCTGGGAAAATTTCCCTCTCCTGCTTGCTTTTAGAAACCCGCTCTGTTGTTTTGCAAGGTGCTGTGAAATCTAGGAAGCTGGAATTCTTTCTTTACCATTTAGAGATTTTAAAACTGGCTTCTTATTTACAGCATTAGTTTTAGGATGAGGAAAATCTTGCCAGAAGACTGGATTTGCTACCTAGGAAAAAACAATGAAAGCGGGTCGTTCCTGGAGCAGCAAAAGCAGTGAAACTCGGCTTGGCTGGGGTATAGATGTAGGCCTGGGGTTTACCGCGGACTCCTGCCTATACTCTGCAGGCGTTTGTAGCTCTTCCCCATGTGGACTCTTGGTATCTAGTGAAGAATGAGCTCGTGATGCTATTTTTCCCTTAGTTGGGGTACTTGCAAGCAGGGGATGGGGCCCTGGTTGGAAAAACTAGTTTTTTGTGATGGTTATTCTCCCGTCAAATCTGATCGAAATGGAGGGGGATTGCCATATTGTCTGTCTGGTTTTAGTGATGCTTATAAGTAGTAGCTGTGGGGTATCCTGAAGTCCTGTTACATCCACGCTGAGAGTACTTAGCAGAATCCTAAACAGCAGCAGAGACATCCTGAGCCTTCAGAGAGTTAGCTTTGAAGATGACAGCAGTTAGTTTGAAGAATATGGGGCATATTCTGATTTTGTACTGTGAACGCTAAAACCTGCATTGAAGTCATATCTATGTTTATGGGCTGAACTGTTCAGCTTTCCAAGTAAAATTTTCCTTTATTCTCTTGGCAATTAAACGAGATGATGAGCCAATTCCATTCTGAATGAAAAGAGGGGAAGACAATGTTCAAACGGTCTATTTTTTTTTTTTTCCTTCTTAAGGCATTTAAGTTATCTCTTAGCCTTCTTTACAAGCAATGCCAAAGTAAATTCTGATGCCTCTTAGCCATCTCTCATTTTTGGAGACCGGCCATACACAAATGGTTGCACTTTTATCTTCCAGTACATATATAATTAGATCTGACCCTGCAATGGAAGAGAGAGAGACTGAGAAAGCTCCTGAGGAGGAGCAGAGGCTGATTAATATGGATTATTAGAGATTGCTGATTGAAAGGCTGCAGCTGTGATTGCTGTAGCAAGGAGAAGGGAGCAAGGTCTCAGTGCTGTAATGGTGTCTGCCAGGTCTTGTCTTCGGCTTACTCTTAACAAAGATGTTTTCTGTGTGCTGTCCTGCACCCCAAAATCAACTGCTACAGCCTGTCACCCTTCTGTGGTTCTTTAAGGGGACGCTACTTCTACCATCCCTGACAGATACCTGCCTTGACTCTTACCACAGCAGTTTATACCTTGAAGATGAGTTGGCAGGTTTTCCTGAACTCCTCCCCAAAGCTGTGTGTTTGACTGAGAAGCTGACCTGACAGGTATAATTTAGTTTTGTTCTCTGTTTCTCTTTAACAGGCGACTGCGATGTCAGTGGATTGCCTGGGACAGCGCGCAGTACTCTCGGGGTGAGTGTGACAGTCCCCATTAGAAACGTGTGACAGTCATTTCCACAAGCCAAATCGGCAACCTTCAGGCTGACCTCAATGGCAGGGCTGATGCATTGTTTCAGAAAGGTGCAGCTGAATTCTGTTCAAGGCTTGATGAAAAGGATTCTGGGTCACATTTCCAATGGGATACAGAGTGGAAAGCCAGCAACAACAGCACGATAAAATACTGGCTTTCCTGTTGCACGCTTTCCCAAATCCACTTGTGGGAGGTGGAGCATCATGAAGTACTGTTTGGATTCTGCTTGAAATACAGATGAAATAATTTCCTTAAGGCAAAATTTGCCCCAAATATTCCTGTGGTGTATTTGGGCAGAGGAGCCAAGCGCTCTGACCTGCTCCTCTGCTGGTTCAGTGTGGGATGATACTCAACGAGAGCAGTAGGTGCCATAGACTCCAAGCTGCCAGAGCTCCCAGGAGGGCTTGGTGTTATGTAGCCACCTCCAGCGCAAGTCTTCAAACAGCTCAGCAGTTGCCTGCCCGGCTGCCGCCTTTCAGTGCTAACAGCTATTCCTGTCCCACTGTCAGTGACACAATTACCACACCAATTAGGATGTTCACTTCAAATTCAGGATCGCATGGGTGCAGCTGAACTTTGGTCAGTCTTAGAGGAAACAGGTCCTTTGATACAACTTGAAGGCCCACTCGCTTCCCTGTAAACCCTTAGTCCAGCAGCCCTGCACAGGAATAACCAGCTCAGCAGCTGGTTTGGGTCTAACTTGATGCCTCTTCCTCCTTACACCTGCCCAGTTTCACAGCTTGCTTATTTGGGCCAACAGCGAGCTGGGGATGGCTTGCCTGCAATTCAACATCAGGTCCGTGACCCTCTGCTTTTCAGGCTTCTCCTGCATGCTCAGCAGCGCTTCGGGACTCCCCTCAGTTATTTTAAAGCTGTGCAAGAGCCTCAGAGGGCTCAGCATCTTCACTCTTCAGAGTAGGGAGCCCCGAGGACCTTCGTCTGGAAAGGCAGCAAAGATGTTCTTTGTGTTCCTTCTCTCGGGAGAATTCACAGTGCTCAGAGCAGCTGTATGCTTGCTACGCAGCTGACGTATGTGATGCTGGTGTCGTTAATTATGTATGGTTCAATATGTTTTGGTGCTGGTCTTCCACTAGAGTTCAGCTGGCTCACAATTATTTCTGGGCGGTTTATCTTGCTTGTAAGATGAATCACAATGTGGAGGGAATGATACCTTGCCTAGCTTTGTGGGGAGTTGGTCACATCCAGCAGGATGTATGAGCTCAGGTTTAGCATCATGCAAATACATCTCTGCAGCATATAGGGTTAGCTCAGGTAAGTAGTATAACCAGATCAGTGCAGTGCTGTGTTCACCCATGTTAATAAGCTGCTGCAGCTGAGCTAGCTCTGTGCAGGTGTACTTGTACTGTCTGCAGAACCAAACCCCCCAAACTGTGGTGTGGAAACACGCAGCCACATAGAATCATCTTATGTTTGTCAAGGCTCATTAACTCTTGCTCAGAGCAACCTCTCCAGACTGATGCTGGCTCCTGTGAAGCTATTGCGTTGCACTCCCAGCCCTGTGCCGCCTCGGCTGCGCTGCTGCTGCATTGGGCCAGCAAAGCGTATTTGGATGTGTTTGCACCATTTCCCAGCGCTTCCTTTTGTATCCTAGTTATCTGGGGGTTTCTGTGGCCTGAGCTACCCTTTACATTTGCAAATCCTATCTAATTTCAGCATGTCTTTTCATATATTTTTTTTAAATGCAGCCCTTTTTCAAGTACGTGGTCAAATGTAGCGTTCTCAGGAATAGTATTTTCATCTGTCTTGTCAAATGCTTCTCTTCTTTGGTCCTCTAGGCACAAGGCTGTGAGCTCCATGTGAGCTTGGGGTTTTGAGATCGGTCCTGTGTGATACGGCCTCTTTGTACCTGTGTGTCTTGCAGCCGCCGTTTCCTCTACATAGTCAACCTGGATGCACCAAACGAGGGTCATCGAAAGATCTCGCGACAGAGCAAGTGGGACATCGGGGCAGTGCAGTGGAACCCACACGACAGCTACGCGTACTACTTTGCAGCTTCGGTAAGTTCACTCATTTAAAAGCTGTAGCTCGTCATCTTCCCCGGTCTTTCATGGGTGGACTTCTGCAGACTTGGAAGGCTGCATGGAGCTGGCACAGGCATGCCCCTGCAAGTCACGTTGCAAGATCAAGGCCTAGCTCTGACTTACTGCCAGGGAGGTATTTGGCTTGATGGTTCTCAATTATTGGTCGGCCAGTGTTGAATCTAGTTTTGCTTGCTTGTCTTTTACAAAACACCTTGCCAAATAAATCGGGCATCCAAATGGTCCTTTTCTGGAAGAAAGGGGGGATGTGGTCTCTTTCTAACTTCCATTCTGTTATGAGATCTGCGCGCTTACTGAATTTCGTGCTCTGTGCTCTTTTGTTTTCACCTCCCTGCCTTCCTGGTGGGATGTGGTGCACCAGGCAGTCTGTAAATAGCACAAGTCAATACTGGCTCACCACTGTAACAATCTAGGTTTGCAGGTGGGCAGGGACCAAGTCAGCGAGGAGTTCTTATTCAGTGTGAGGAGAAGTAAATAGGCTGGTCTGAAGAAGCAGTAGTGGCCATCTGAGATTTGAGTGTGGTTTTTAGCTCTGATCTTTACAGAGCATAATAGACCGAGTAGCTTGTTCATCCAGAGCCCTGAGCTTCTGCTAGCAGCAGTCTTAGCCATCAACCACAGCGCTGCAGCCACCGGCACTAGCTGAGCGCAGACTGTTCTCGTGGTGAGGTGCCTTTGCTGCCGTGTTGCATCTGCTTTTATAGCCGAAGAATCCTGGAATAGCTGGGGTTAGAGAAGTTTCATTTATTTTTTTGAGAAAACACTTAGCTGAAGGTGGTTTCCTGGGATTTTTGTTCCTTTTGCTTCCTGGACTGGCTATGATTGAAATTAAAGGCAGTCCTAAAAGTGGACCAGTGTTGTCAGTTAGGAGCCTTTGCTTGTTTGCTCTCTGACATTCCCCAGCCTGTCTCCTCCCAGCTCTGGTACGTGACTGACATCTTAAAGGTGCATTCAGCAGCTGTCTGCTTCTGAGTGGAGAGTTAGTAAAACTTGCAAAAAGGTGTCCTTCAGTGCCACTTCTGGATACAGTCTGTGAAAATCAAAACCAAGTAAGGAAATGTGCTGTGCAGGCCACGAGTAGAGCGGGAAAGCTTCTTTTCAAACGCACTCTGAAGGCAATATCCAGTGATCGGTTAATACTGATCTGAGCAGGACCCTGCTGCAAAGGGGAGCTGTGCCCATCTCGCCCGTCTGAGCACTCCTGTCTCTTGCTGCCCTGAGCGGACATGCGAACCCATCTTGTTCCAGACTGAAACTAGGTGTAGCTGGAATCAAACCTTGCTGCTCCCGTTTATAAATGAAGATACTAAGATGCTCTGGTGATTTAGACGTAGTTGCTGACACACATCAGGTGAGGAGTCCCTAAGATGAGATCGGGCAGCTTTTCCAGTTTGGGTCAGAAACACTCCCTTTCCAGCCATCTCACAGGTGGCTGGCATTTTGGTGCTGATGCGGTACAGCCCTGTCCTAGGACTAGAATTTAGCCTGTCTTATTTAGAAGTGGAAAGCGGATTTACAGCATGTGCTCAGGTCTGCGTGTCCCAGGTCAGGACTGGAGGCAGTGTGGATGTGTTTGAGGGCCATACCTAAGGGGGCAAAGATGCATTGGGAAGGCTAAATCAGCTTGGATTCAGCACTGTGAAGATGTGATTTGCTACTTCTGGACTCAAGCTGGCTGTCAGTCCCCCGTGAGTCTGCTGTTGAGGTCATCGTATGTTCAGGTATACCACACAAGTGTTGTAGACAGCCCTGAGGGTCCTATCCCTCTGCATCCTTGTGGATGGAAAGGGAGTGTAAAAGGCTACCATCCTGCTTGCCAACAGCTTCACCTGGTTTGCAGTGCCGTTAATTGGAAGTGGTGCAGGCAGGGGGGAAGCCTGCCTCATGTTTGGATAAGGGCTTCTTATTTTTTTAGCTTCTTTCCAGAATAGCTGAAACGTGTCCTCTTGCTGTGCTTGGCTCTGTCTGCCCTCCGGCTCAAGCACATTTCTGAGGACTCCTAAGCTGTTGTTTCAGAAATGCCATTGTTTGCCATCCTAGATCCTTGTTACTTCTTTTGTGTGGTCACAAATGCTTGAACAAGAGGGTGATGAAATTGTTGGAAGCGTGTACTGATATTTATCACAAGAAGCACATTTTTTAGAAAATCGTGCTGGGAGGAGCTGTCATTCTCTCACACCTGGTGCTACAGGCAACACCTTCCATGTGAGGTGCCCCACTAAAAGTCTTGAGAAAATTCTGGTGGTCTTTATCTTGTAGCATCAACTCTGGAGTCCTGGACAAATCCCGTTGGGTAATTTCACTCTACTCCCTTAAATCCTTCTGTCAATGAGAAACATGCAAGGACTTTTCCTTGCCTCGAGCTCTTGTGCAGCCCTGCTGTGAGCTATTAGAGAAACGCCATATATTGTTGCTGAATTGGGAGGACACCTTCCGTTTCAGGGAAGGCTGGAGTGTTTTATCCATCTGCAAGTTCAAATTCATATCAAGCAGCTTTGGGGTAAAAAAAATCAAAACACCACCACAAAAACCTGTCACAAAAAATGTAAAATAAGTCTTTTCTCTATTATCTTTTCCCTCATCTACCTGTAAGTTTGAAAACAAGGGGCTAATGAAGATCAAATTTTGAAGTCACGTTATTTCTGTTTTTGCAAAATCAACATGAATTTCCAGTCATGGCCCAAAACCCGCTGTGCTTGGTGCTATATATGCACCCAAAAAGGCAATTCCTGTCCCAGAAAGATTAGAGTTGGCCTGGGCTGAAGTGAACCTTGACTGAGGCAGAACGTGAACTTAAAGCACAATAACTAGTTTCAAGTAACTTCGTGTGTGGCTGCATTTGGGGGAGGATTTACTCCTGAAATGAGTGAAGAAGCCCTAAATAATGTTGTCATTGATTCATCTGGTTTGCTCCTGTGGTTTATGGTTAGTGATAAGCACTTAAGGCTTTTTTTCCTGGGCTGGCGAGGATGGAAGTACCCTTGAGGAGGTGACCTTGAAGCCATTAGATTGTATTGTTCATGTTTGACAATGGCCCTGATTATCCCAGAAGGGAATCGAGGGAGAGTTGAGGAGGCCCAGTGGTGATCCATCATCCCCCTCACTGAAAACTCCAGTTGTGAATCTGAACAGACTGGCAGGGTATTCCAGCAGAGAGAATTTGGCTGCCTGTTGCCTGCAGTTACAGCACGTTGTTAGGAAATAAAAGCTCCGAGAACATCATTTCGTGGAAACATTTTGCAATATGATTTTTTTTTTCTCCCATTCTTGTTTATCTCCCTTTTTAAGTGGGTGTAATTAAAGCGTAAGCTTTTGAGAGTCCTTGCAGCCTGTAGGTTCATCTTTGCTCTCCTGCTTTGGGCAAGGACTTGGCTAGCTGCAGTGTGACTCACTGGTAACTGACGTTACCAAAGATAAGGGAACCTGGTCCTGGCACATGGATTCCTGTCCTACCTTGTTCACCTGACACTGTCTCCTTTCTTCCATCTAATTTCAGAGCAATCAGCGAGTTGACCTGTATAAGTGGAAGGAAGGTAATGGTGAAGTCTGCACATCGCTGCAAGGACACACACGTGTGATCAGGTGAGGAGCAAGCGATGCTGCGGACTGCTGGGTGGAAAATAATGGGTTGTTTCACAGAAGGTGGATGTTTCGGTCCTGGCCCCGCTCAGGCTCTGCTCTGATCCTGTTTTAACTCTTTTCTGGAGTGTACTGTCTGCCCCTCTGTCCTGCCTTCCCATTTGGAGATGATGATTTGAAGCTGCTCACCCTCTCATGGCTCCCCCCAGTATTTCAGCTTAGCCTTTGATGGCTCGAGTGTCATTGCCTTAGGCTGCTGTCCTTGTAATGAACAGCAACCATCATCTGCCAAACAGATAACAGCATGTTTGTTAAATTGAATCCCAGCCGTGTTTCTGTGTGATAGCAGCTTAATTAAAGCAGGTAATCCCAAAGATCAAGTTCACGGTGTGTTACGGTGGTGCAGGGGAGATTTCTGCCTCTGGTTCTAGGGGTGTATTTTAGTGCTGGGCTGGAAATGCAGGTGAAGGACCATTTTTATTCGAGCTCCTGACTGTGGAAAGTAGTCGCAGCCCTTGAAATGGCTGACTGGGGCCTGTTTGTGTCCCAGGTGCACCTGGTGAGCCCAACAGAAAGGCATCCCAGAGTTGAGGGGTTGATGCCAAGAATGTGTGACAACTGGGAACTCACTGAGACAGCGTCCCTTTTCCTGTGGAGGAAAGAGCACGCGCACGGTAGCTGCAAAGTTCAGGGCTAGGAGGATGCTTCACTGGAATTTACTTAGAAGGATTTCATTGCTTCTTGGAATTTACTTAGAGAAATGATTAAGATCTTGCTTTTTACTTAAAAAGTTTCAGTAGATGTCATGGAGTGGCCATGAATTTGTCAGAGAAATGTACTGGGGGCTTGTGAGAAGTTGATGAAAACTGCGCTTTTCTCTGCTGAGCTACTATGATTTTGCATTTGCAGCGACTTGGACTGGGCGGTGTTTGAGCCAGACCTGCTGGTCACCAGTTCTGTTGACACATACATCTACATCTGGGACATCAAGTAAGAATCAGTATGTTTCTGCACTGCAAGGAAATCATTGGACTCCTTTCCGTAATTAGCAGCTTGCGGGGCAAAGCACGCACTGATGGGTGCTGCTCTTCAGCTGTGCTTGCAGGGGCTTCATCTGCTTCCCATAATCTCAAAGGTGCCTTCTGTTCCCCTAGTTTCAAGCCAGTTCAGAGACAATGAAGGGCAGCAGAGCGGTACGGTTAAGCCACAGTCATGCTCCTGTTTTGAAAAAATACTGACTGGCTTCACTCCCTACCCACTGCAGATCTTTCCTCGGGAGCTTTTCCTGGAGCTCAAGGGTGTTCCTCAACCTGTTGGGTGTTTTAGCTGAGTGAATGCGCACCGTTTCATGATCCTGCAGCCATTTTCCACTAAATTCAGTGATTGTTGCTGGCTCTCCCAGCAGTGGGAAGACTGGCAGTGGTATTGAGGAATCTTTTCCTGTTCGTGTCTTCCCTTGCTTCCTGGTGCTTTCTGTCAGGAGTAATTTCAGGGTAACAGATCTTTCCAAATCCACTAATATTACAACCCCGCGTTTTACACCTGAGAAGCGAGGAGCTGGCACTGGGACTGCTGGGTTCTCTTGCTGGCTGTACAGCAACTCTTTATGACCCCCAGCAAGTCACTTGGTTCCCCTCTGCTTCCCTTGCTCAGTTGTAATAGGAGGATAATTATATAACCCCACTGCACCAGGCTACCCTGAGGCTTGTTTAGCTCCTATGAAGCACTTAGATCCTTGGTTAAATGGTGCTTGAGAATGGCAATATATTATTAATGTGTAATTAAAAGACAGAGAGAGACAATAACTGCTGGTTGTGTTTCCTGTGATACTATCTTAGTGCCAAGCAAAAAATAAGAGTTCTCTGAAGGTTGTTATCAGAAGCCCTGCTTTAACTCTATTGTGCCCTTCCATCATTTTGTGTGTGCGTGTATCATTTGTCCACAAATGCTTGCTTAGGCGGTCTCTGACTAGCCTCTACATCCCACTTGCGCTAGTGA